CAGGCTTCCCCTCTATCCCCCGTGTGGGGTGGGTTTGCAAGGAGAAGGGGAGACAGCGCTCAGCCCTGCTCGTACTGCACAGCCCGGCTGACCGCGGGGCTGTTTCCAGGCCAGGCCCAGCCACATTTCAGGCTGAAGCCCCTAGAACAGGAAGGTGCTCTCAACCGTCTGCGGGCTGTCCAGGCAGAGAAAATGGTGCTGGTCCTGAGAAGGGGGTGCACCAGGGCACAGTGGACCGTGCCAAGGCGTCCTTCCGTCCCTACCTCCACACCACTGCACCCCCAGGAGCCAGCTGTATGCCAGCCCCACACCTGGTGCTCTGTGTTCTCATGGACACGACACCCTCAGAGCTCCCTGTGCTCCAAGCGAGGGGCAGGTACCCAGCCTTGCCCAGCGCCCAGGAGCCCCCCAGGGTGGGGACGGGGCAAGTACCAGCCAGAGCACAGTGCCGGGCACTCAGCAGGAGAGGCGGCAGGCGGGCCTCAGGGTGGAAGGGTGGTCGGTAGCCCTGAGCTGGTCTAGAAAGATACAGCGAGGGGGCCGGCACCCTCACCTCACGTTCCCACCAGAGCCATAACATCTCCTTTGTTACTGCTTTTGTGGACCAGCCTACTGCACGGCTTTACCTAAATGTTCTGATTTTCCAGCCTGAGAAACCCTAAGGGTGCAGATCTGTGTCCTGGGTGTGTGTTTATAGCTGATTCTCATGTTGGTCCCACCTCTGGACCTTCCTGGTCCCATTGTATTCAGCACTGGGCCTGAGCCCAGGCTGTGCTGGTCACCAGAGCCCCATCTCTCTGGTCACTGCGCTTGTGTGAGGACCCAGGCGGGGGTAGTGAGTCAGCGGGGGTCTGGGAGAGCTGCAGAAAGAGAACTCGTCTCACAGACCCTGCCGGGCGCCATTCCGCCCCCGAGGGTGCCAGACTACCGAGGAGGTAAGGGACAGACAGGGCAGCAGGGCGGGGCAGGGACGGATCCTATGGCTTCTTTTGCTTAAGCCAGCTGGTGTTGGATTTCTGTCACTGGCCACCAAGGGTCCTGACTCAAGGGACAAAGCTGGTTTGGAACTGCAATGATCACACGCATGGACAAGCTGCACGATTTGCAGTGTGACCCATCCGAGTGCCTGGCAGGGCAGGACATCAGGGGGCTGTCCAGTCAAGAGGGAGACAAACTCCCAGGGTCTGCTCGGCTGCAGCACCGCCCAGCGGAGACGGGGCTGGCGGGCGAGTGTTCCCCGGGGAAAGGCAGGCGCACGCTGCAGGCCGATTCTCTGCTCCAGGGCTCCCGGTGCTCCGACCTCGGGCAACCCTCTCAGCAGCCCTCTGGCTCCCCTGGGACCAGATGCTGTGTTAGTGAACGGGAGGGCTCTATGCCCCTGAGGTCTCACTTCTTGGGGGCACCCTGACTGGCTCCCCCTCCTTGACAACAGGACATAGGTTTGGGACTTGGGTCATGCAGTGGCCAGGCTCTTCATAGGGAGGGAGGGGCGCGGGTTCTTACTGGCTGAGGTGCAGTCCCATTTCCTGGAGGGCTTGTTCCTGCTCGTCACAAACCTTCTGTAACTCTGCCTTCTCATCCTGGAGCGCTCGCAGCTCCTAAAATGAACAAACCAGACACGTGACACAGAATTGAAAGTCCTTTTTATAAGGTTTAGTAATCATAGCAACAAGCAGGTCAGAATGTTTTTCAAGAGTAAAAGGCAGCCGGGCTGGCGTGGCTCAGTGGCTGAGTTCTGACCCATGAACCAGGAGGTCACGGTCGGATTCTGGTCAGGGCACATGCCCGGGTTGCAGGCTCGATCCCCCGTAGGGGGGCCTGCAGGAGGCAGCTGATCGATGATTCTCTCGTCATTGATGTTTCTCTCTCTCCTTCCCCTCTCTGAAATCAATAAAAATATATTTAAAAAAGAGTAAAAGGCAGTCCTCTTGCGTTAACCTCATTCAAGACAGGGTGATTTCGTGGGTTACTTCTCACTAGCTTGCTTCTCCAGAACGGGTGCGTGCAGGGGAGTAGCTCTGCAGCAGACGGTGACATGGGACAGGAAACAGCTGCGTTCATCAGGGACATTCAAAGTAGTCACCCTTGCAGGGCAAATAAGGCTTTACCTGTCTGAGTTTCTTTTAGAATATCTCTATCTATCTATCTATCTATCTATCTATATATATATTTTAGAGGCCCGGTGCATGAAATTTGTGCACAGGGGTGGGGGTGGGGGGCATCCTTCAGCCGTGCCTGCACCCTCTGCAATCCGGGACCCCTACACCTTTTTCTTATCTAGCTAACCTCTTCACAATTAAAAAAATTAACTCAAATACCACCTCCTCTAGGAAATCCTCTTTGAACAAATCTCTTTACAATCTGCATTAAGTATTTTCATAGTATATCATTCTTTTTCTTTAACAGCAACTTAGAGTGGATGCAATGTGCTTCTCATTCTTGCATCTGAATGTTTTCTTCTTGCTCTTGTAATAGCAAAGATTATCCAATTTATAT